TTAATTAATATTATTCATCTTTTTTTAATCAACATAAAAATCTTTTTTCATCAGCATAAAAAGATAGGTATGTTAAGAAAATATTTTTGTTCTAGAACCTTGAAAATTAATAATAAAATGGATAATTACTTCTGAAGTTGGCAGAAATTTCATCTCATCTGCTTGTAAGACATTTGTACTGTTTATTGTGCAGAACACTATCACAGTAATAGTCAATAGTTTGATACTAATTGTGCTTACATGGTTTATGATAAGTGTCTTAACGCCTTGCCCTACAAATTAGTACAAATGTACCATCATTATAAACAACAGTAACCTCACAGCTGTTATGTAAATCAATGTTTTCTTTGGGTCAAAGATAACTTTACTGAGCAAATATTGAAAAAGGTTTAATCCATTGATTTCACCTGATTTTTTGAAACTGAAAAATAATTAAAGGGTTCTTATATTCATGAAAAAATAATTGGTAAGGCCACCCTTAACAAATTCTTTGTTTGATGTTGCCTACCATGTATATCAATTGTATGGTCATTTTTATATTTTATAAATTTGCTGTTTGCAAAAGTATGAATTATTTTAATACTAAATATTTTCTTATCACAGGCAGATAACCTAGCCGTATTTGGCACAACTTTTTGGAATTTTGGGTCATCAATGCTCTTCATCTTTAGGCCTGGCACCTTTGATAACTATTAGCTTGTCGTAATGTTCTATTGTATTGTTTATTTGTGTGTTTCTCTGTCCTGTATGTTCTTCCATTTATTTGTATTGTAGTCCTGTCATGTAATGTTGTCATTTAGTGTTATATTTAACATTGCCATTAAAGCAGGAGGTTTGGCTAGACACAAAACCAGGTTCAACCCACCATTTTTTCTTAAAATGTCCTGTACCAAGTCAGGAAAATGGCTATTGTTATCTTATAGTTCGTTTCTCTGCGTTGTATTTTAGTGTTTCTGTTGTGTCTTTGTTCTCTTATATTTGCTGTGTTTCCCCCAGTTTTAGTTTGTAACCCGGATTTGTTTTTTATCAATCGATTTATGAATTTCAAACAGCGGTATACTACTGTTGCCTTTATTTATCTACCAATGCCTTATAGGATATTAATTAATTTGTTTTGGACAACAACATAAGTTACAAGTTGTAGACAAGAAAACACCCCTTAGAGCATGAGAAAAACTTTTAAAAAAACTAGATTGAAACGATTTGTGTTATAAATTTTTTGGGGGCAATCTGATTAAAATCTGATGTTGTGATACGGTGGAGAGAATTGTAGCGAAAACTAACAGCTGATTTTAATGAGATTGTTTTTTGGGTAGGCTGCTTTTTAGGGGGTAGGTAGGCAACATCAAACAATTCTAATTTTGTTTCTAGCCTTATTCTTCTTTTAAAACATCTTATTTGCTATTGCCATACAAAACTCAACTAAATTGACTCGCAAAGTACTTTTCTTTAAGAGAACATCTCTCAGGTACACAGCCTATTAGCCATAGCCAAGGGGTGAAATTTATTAAGTAATACCAATGGGACAAAAAAAAAGTTTTTTTTTAAAGTTTTGACCAATATTATGTTTCTATATTTTTTCAGGCGATATTAATACATATCTGGTGGTGTTTAGTCTGACATGGCACATTATTTCATGCTTTGTAATTAAATATAAGTTCTATAAACAGAACACTTTTTTTCAAAGTAAACACTTGATGGACATATCCATATATTTTTTCTAGATCACTTCTTTATGAAGATGTGTTATCACTTTATCTCACATGCACTTAAAAAAGCTGTTACAGAAAATTTACATTGTTTATTTAGTTTTTAAGAGAAATATAATGTAATTTTTAGTGTTATTTTTGTAAAGTAAATAATAGTGTCTTCTTTGACAGAATTGAAATTTTGGACTTGTTGTGGAGGCCTATGGGTACTGCCAGGCTATAATTACAGGGAAAGTGTGGAGATTCCAGTCCTACTCTCTTCTCCCAATATGACACTTACAATAATACCATGACAAGAAAGAAGAAAGCTTGTTCACTAAAAGTTCATTGACCATAGCTGCAATGTGACTTTAAGTCTTAAAATTTCAGGATAACGAGAACAATGCTTCCAAGGTTTGCCAAAATATTTTGTTTTGTTTACCTCAAAAACAATGAATTCCCTCCTCTTTGGAATTTAACACCCAATTACTTATATAGACATTTGCCCTTGAAATGATGGAACTGTTTGTCAGATAAAAACATAAACTTCTATAGTAATTGATCAGGTTCCAACCTCATCAAGTGAAAGAGGAAGAAATCACAGCACGTGCTTTTGCTTGTTCTTTCACAGGAAGAGTTGGTGCTAATTAATTGTAGCATATATGAAGTGTTAAGTAATAAATAAATCGTTCAAGATATAAATAAAGATACAACAATTAAATAGATAAAAGTAACAAGCGAAACATTATCTGTAAAACTGTCAGGAGTTAACATTGTACATCATTATTCATTAATTACTGTCATTTCCATGGAATACTAATGGATTTCCATGGAATACTAATGGATTTCCATGGAATACTAATGGAAAATGACTCCTTACTATTTTTTTCTTTTTTTCTTTTATTTACATGTATTAAGTACTTCCTTATCAAACTGACAGATCAAGTTCACCTTATGTTTTCCTCAGAAGTTGTAGGAGGTTGCTTTCATTGTTGCTAAAGTACTTTTCTCACTTCATGCCAACTTTTCATGTTTTGTGGTAATCTTTTGTTAGTGTAGGAAAATGGCAAATTAAATTGCAAGGACAAATACTGACAAAATTCTAGATTTCTAATTTGAAAATGAAGATAATTTTTGTAAAGGATTTTCCTTGATTAAGAAATGCAAAGATATCTATGCTTTTTTATTTTAAAAGTTATCAAAAAGATATCTTAAATCTTATATAAATGAAGGGAACAGTCATCTAAGAAAACTTTCACAAACAATTACACGATCAATTATGATAATTTCTTTTTTCCCAACAAATGATTGAACTTCTATCAATAATAGCAGGAGCTTAGCATCATTAACAAGCATTCCTTAGTGTCAGTGTTCTCTTGGTGCTACTGTATACAGATTAGTTTTGCATATTTATGTAACAGAGACGAAAAACCTTGACTTGTGATGGGCCAAGTTCAATATCCCCTCTTCAACCTTGTATCAATAACACAGTGCATCAAAATAAAAAATAAACATATTTTTTTTTAAATTCCGGTACTAAAATTTCAATCAACCCAAATACAGCATATATATAAGGCTTCATGCTGACAAAGTAACAAAGGTTGACAAAAGGTTTGATCCTATGCCAAGGGGATTAATCATACCAATTCTAACATTTGAATGATCCGAATTTAAAATTGGTATTTCAAAAACTATCAATACAACCATCAAGCTTGTTTGATCATATGAACAGGAAAATTAATGTCCATCTAATTTGTTTACCTCCTGCAGTATAAATAGTAAACAAAGGTGATGAATGTATACTTTTTGCCTTTATCAACATTGGTGAGAAGTATGAATGAGATAAATAACCATGCCAAAATATCTATCAATCCAGCAACCTTGAGACAGACCATACTGCCAAAAAATCTGATATCCTAATCTTGTCATTTCAATAAACTCTTCTAATAAACACTGCATAAAATTATTTACGCCAATAAAATTTCAATACACTTTCCATCTTTAAAAGCTTTGGAAGCAATATTACCTATAAAGTCAATGTTAATGTGTTCACACCTCATGATTTGCTTAATAAACAAGTTTAAGGATACAGTTTATATTTGTTTTCCTATTCATGGAGTTTGTAAATATATTCTCAAGGATGAAGTTTAATTACTTGGTTTTTTGTCCCATATATGTAAAGTGATATAAGAAAAAAGTATATTCACTTCATTTGAACTCTGGTGGATAGTTGTCTCATTGGCAATCATACATCTCCTTATTTTTATGTATATCAATAATCAAGACCATGTTTTTGGAAAAATAATCAAAATTATTATTTCAACCTTTCCGTAACTCATTAACCTTTTTGAAAGTAATAAAATAAATTACCATATTAATTTTTTTGTAAGAAAAATTATAATAGCCTATTTCGGTCCATTATCGATTTTAAAGCAGTGTATGTTTAAGCATAATTTATAAATATATTTCAATGAATATTAAATGAAATGGAGAACTCTTGGATTAAAACTTTTGTGCTAATGGGTCATACTAAGTTGAAATATTGGAACCAGATTTCGTGACCTGACGTCTACACCTTTTATACTAATTTCATATTATAGGCAATTTTGTATATCCTTCTGGAGATTTGCTCTTTTCTTTTTTTGAAAACCCAATCTTTTGTCACATTTGTTTCAATATGAAAAAAGGATTAGAAGAGTTAAATGACAACAAGACAGTAACCTATCAATACAAGTTAACCAAATGCACATAGAAAGGTCCCTTGAAAATCAGTGCCACAACAAAACAGAAACTAGGATGAAAACAACTGATTTACAAAAACCAAATTTTTAATGAACGCTCCATAATTATACATGAAAAAAACCTTCAAAAGCATATAAATGGTTGTGTGAATTCAATATTAATTTTTTAAATTATTAAATCCCCTTTTCCCAAACGTGACCTACTGAATTAAGACTTATTACCAGGTTTGTACTAAGATAAGCAACACCATGGGTGCCACATGTGGATCAGGATCTGCTTACCCTTCCGGAGCACCTGAGATCACCCCCAGTTTTTGGTGGGATTCATGCTGCTCAGTCTTGAGTTTTCTATGTTGTGTTTTGTCTTTTTCTTTTTAGCCATGGCCTTGTCAGTTTATTTTCGACTTGTAAGTTTGAATGTCCCTTTGGTATCTTTTGACCCTTTTTTTAAATCCTTTGTGATCTATTTCAGTTTTGTAACTAGTTTTCAGTATTCAGTAAAATGACAACAACTCTATCAGGCTAGTAGGGGAATTTAACCAATATCATTACCCTTTCTGTTTGAACCTACCTTCTCGTAACATGCCTACTCTCAGACATTTCTGGAAGCGACATGCTTGGCAGGCTTTTCTTCTTCTTTTGGTAATTTCGCAATCCCAGTTTGCAGGGCAAGAGTATTCTATATTTCCTGTAACAAAAAAAAATTTATATGACTTTCTGGAAAGAAAGAAAAAATCCCAACACATACAAAACTTTTATAGGTACAATCAGAACATGCTCCTTTTCAAACAATGCCAGCACACCAGCAATCTGTAATTAAAGGAAAATATCATGGATAAATTAGATTTCAAAGCATTGGCAACGGTTACATAAAATAAACCAAAACATAAAGTTCAAAGAGAACTCTTAACCTTTTACTTCTGAACGTAAAACCAAAATTCATTCATGTAAAGACTAATGAGTAACAAAGTAACAATGATGAAAGAAGCTGATTGAAAATCCAGGACAATACATGATCAGAAATACAACATTGGAAACCAAACACCACTGGCACACATCATTCTTACATTTACAGCAAAAGTAATAAGCATAAGCCATAGCTAAGTTTGGGTAACCAGAAAATTTAAAGTATAACCACAGTTAGTACCTATGACCAGGTAATCTATCTGGCAAGTATGGTGTTTTGGTTCTATTTGGCAAATATGGTATTTTGGTTCTAGGCAAGTATTGTTTTTTTGATTTTATCTGGCAAGTATGGTGTTTTGGTTTTATCTGGCAAGTATGGTGTTTTGGTTCTATCTGGCAAGTATGGTGCTTTAGTTCTATCTGGCAAGTATGGCAAGTTTTGGTGTTTGGTTCTTTCTGGCAAGTTTGGTGTTTTGGTTCTATCTGGCAAATTTGTTTTGGTTCTATCTGGCAAATTTTTTTTGGTTCTAACTGGCAAGTATGGTGTTTTGGTTCTACCTGGCAGTTGATTTTTAGACTCTGACCAGTTGACTTATGCAGATTTGTTGTGGTGTACAATATTTTCGGTAATTTCTGGTTTTTTTTTATATATATATATTTATAAATACAAGTATTAGGGAAATCTTCATATGAAAAAAAGCACAACTCTGTTCCTTTATCGAGCACATAATTCAGCAAATACACAAATAAAGGTTTACAACAGAAAATTAGAGATAATCATCGTTTGCATTACCGACAATACAAAACGGCCTTTTTCATATGATTTACCACAATTCTGCAACTTGTTACATAATATCTATTATCAAGGATTGATTTACTTAAGACAGCAAAATAATTAACCAAGACAGGTAATGGAGTGAGTAAACGTTAGGACACTTACAACAAAATATCCAAGATGTTCAGCATTCTAAACAGGACAATGCATCATTGACAATGACAGTAATGAAGGTTACAAAATCTGTTATTAAAACTTACACTTCTTTGTGTGAAAAGGGTGAATATGTTGTGCTGTAATACAACATTAACATTGTAAAGTGTCCTTGATAAAAAATATTCATTTTTGTTGTAAATTCACATTTACACCATTTTACAAAACTGCAATACACTTCTAATACAAGACCACTAGAAAAGAATGTCAAAAATTGACTTGCAAATTCTAACCTCTCCAATGGGTTCTTAAAAAATTAAACCACAAAGCCCATTTGGCAAGATCAAATTTTCAAAATGAAATGGGCTGCTAATTTTCTTGTCTGTTAAAACAGTATTTTTTAACTTCTGAAAGCCAACTTAAACTTGGGTTGTGTTTTCAACATGTGTGCAATTTCCACACGGTTAAATCTTACCCAAGGCTATGAGATAGCTACTAGTATTTAGATAGAAGTAAACAAAGAAAATTAATAAAATCTACACAGTCCCACTTATCAACAACATCCCTGTCTCATGTAGAACACTCGTGTTCTGCCTTCCTACCAGGCAGTTCTTTGGCAGAAGATAGCAGAATTGGGTGTTTTTAGTGGCTTGACATTTAGATTAAAGTGCAAGATACTGATCTCAAATTCCACCAAGAATAATACAAGTGCAAAACAAAGTATGAATGTTTACCTATTATCAGAATAGTTTAGTGTGACAGTACTTTATATTTAGTTTAGATCAGAATTAATCAACAATATTTCTTTTGGGACACTGATAACTGGAACAATCGATAATAACATTTAACGGTATTTCAAATTGTTCTTCAGTAAACAGTCATGAAAACTAGTTCTACATAATGAAGCTTGGTAAATCATCTAATCTGTTATAATCACAGGAATCCTAAATTGACACATTTTAAAACAATGAGCAAAAACACAATTGGCATAGCAAGTTGCAAAACTGGACCAAAGAATTTGAACATTAATTTTTGTTTATACCATATATACATGTATATCAGTGCCGTCTTCTTAAATAATAACTCTTCACACAACAATAGATTGTTAAAGGTTAAAAGAAATCATGTCTTAACGTTTCACGAACTACTTACTTACTTTTAGAATTGGACAGAAAAATTGGAACAGAATGTTTTATACAACATTGTAAATCAGTGTCATCTTCTTTAAACTAAATAATAAAACTTCAGATAATTCAAAGGTCAGAACAAGTCCTGAGAACAATGGTAGTATATTTATATATATATATACATTCTTTTTTATTATCTGGTATATAAATGCCATTTTTCAAGAACTTGACTGCAAACCTGACATTTGGTTAAATCAAAGATTCCTCAATTAAATACACAGATAATCATATATATATATATATAATATAAAAATAAGAAGATTGTGGTATGATTGTCAATGAGACAACTCTCCACAAGAGACCAAAATGACACAGAAATTAACAACTATAGGTCACCGTACGGCCTTCAACAATGAGTAAAACCCATACCGCATAGTAAGCTATAAAAGGCCCCCGAAATGACAAATGTAAAACAATTCAAATGAGAAAACTAATGACCTGATTTATGTACAAAATAATGAATGAAAAACAAACATGATATACAGCAACAAACGACAACCACTGAATTACAGGCTCCCGACTTTAAGTTTATATGGAAGTATGGTCCATCAAAACATGACATTTACATCCCAAGAAACAAGTTCATAAATAAACATGTATTGTGAAGTAAAGCCATACATTCAGCAATATCTTTACCAACTTAACAAACAAGAATACAACGTCAAAAGTGACCAGGCAGAAAGTCAAACAACAGCGGAAAGAAAAGTTGGAGGGCCCCATTCTAGCATTAATTTTGGTCTTTTCTACATTTTTTCTGTGATCCCTTTATTTTGAAAATCCTGGATCAACAACAGACTATTTAAATATTTGGCAAAATATTCTGTATTAAACCAAATGAAATCATAGAGCAGAGATTGATGTAAACAATGGTAAACAAGTTACTTTGATTTCAAAATTTTGCTAAATTTTTTTTACAGAATTTTCCATTCCATTTAAATAAATGCATGTGAGCACATGCTGCAAAACACACGACGTACAATGTAATTAAATGAGAACAAAAAACGTCTAGAGATTTAGTTATTTCGTTACATATCATTTAATTCCGTTATACAATCTGTTTAAGCATGTTAGCTGTTTAAAGGTAGAATTAAAAGGATCACAGTTAAATTTATTATCGTTTCAAGTTGATCAAATCTGTATTGTATTGAAATTCTGCCTTATTAGACAAACATACAAGGAGGTAAACCTGCCGAAACAAGACACCATTAAAAAATAGAACAATTTATCACAATTAATAGGTCCTTCACCATATTGACCTGAAATATAGGCCAACAGCAGCAATCAAATGATTAAAAGATAAAGATAATAACAATGTAGCAATACTATAAAATGTGAAAACTGTTAAATCTAAAACTGCACAGACAGCCATAAAATTTAGGACACATCAATCATTCATTGATCTGAATAGTCACAAAAAGATCAAATTATCTGCTATTTTAACATTTAAGAATGTATACAATTAATTAGTCATCTTCACAAATAGATTGAAACAAAGAGGTGCTGATCTTCTGAATTATCATTTTTAAGTTAACGCTGATAAAACAAACATGTCATATAATATTACTTACTAGCAGGTCTTATATGGGCATTCAATGTTAAAAAAAGTTGACATGAACTCCTCAAACATGAACTTGCCTCATGATATTACTCATAGGTTTGAAAACAAAAAAAATCTAGATTTAGACTTAGTAAACCTTTGTCATTTTGTGGGACAAATACAGGAAAAATTAACTATTTCAGCAGAATAAATAATACAACACAGAAAACCAAATATGAATAGAAAAATCAATGCCAATTGATTGATTATTGTTTTCTTAATGTCCAGTGTCAAATATTTCATGCATCTTTAAGGTGAGAACATATGAACTTTAATCCACTTTGTAAGTTCTGCCTAAAAAAAAATTTAGACTGTTTTTGAAATATGGGTATGCTGGATAAGGATAAAAAATAAGCCTTGCAACAGGCCACGTAATATGCAGATAGCATGGGACTCTCCCTAAAGAAGTCTTAAAGATGAATGGCTCCATTGCCAGCAGGCAAAATTGCTCATTTATAAATTCCTGACAGTCTAAAGGAAGCCCCTCAAAATGAATTTTACTGCTAGATGGAAGAAGTCAAGGTGAACATATGCATTACACCAAGTTAACCCTTTGTCATTATAAACCATTATGCCAAAATGAAAAGTGCTTCTGAATTTAAACAAACTTGTGAAGCTTCTTTTTCAGAAATTTCAACTTTTGCCACAAGGGAATTGAAACTATCATAACTCTACAACTCAAATCAATACAGAACTTCAATAGCTCGAAATTCAGCAAGGAAATCCCAATAATGAAAAACAGCAAATTACCAGTGATATTGATGAACCATCTAATGTTATACCTGGAGCTATCTATCTATACAAATTATCAGATTAAATACCATTTCATTGAAGGCCATCATTGGCAGCCTACAAATTATAGATCTATCTTGACTGCTGGAACATATCAAACTTTGATTGTTCTGGTATAAATACTAACCTCAAAATAAAATGTATTTGTGTAGGCAGAGCTTTCAAGGCTGGAATTGTGTAATTTGCAGTTAAACCGAAATACGCCCTGCATATAAACAACAATAAACACCACCGTTATTTTTTCTTGGTGCAATTAAGAATTTAAAACAAATTTTTAA